GGAAGAAAAATCAGCAATTTCCCATGTATGCTTGTTTTCTGTCAAGGATTTAGCTGGAGTGGGGGAGAAAAAGGAAAAAACGGTCTCATTAAATTTTTGATACTTTATAATGAGCTAATTTTAAACTGGTTTTTACAGTTTTCTTTTTAAAAAATATATACAATTTATTTAATAAATTAATGTCATTCAAAATACCGTGCCAGAACAGTGTTTTCTCTTAATAATTAGGATGCTAAGAGCCTTATAAGACTTTAAAAAAAATAAGATATAGACTTAAAGAATTCCCAGCTCTCTGGGCACATTTGGTATTTTGGTTCTGTGTCACTCAAATGTGTTCTGACAAACTGGCTTATGTTCATCTATAAAGACTTAATGGTTTCTAACCATTCTGCCTGTGCCCATCTTTATGAAGCCACCTCCAACCTGGTAGCCTTACCTTTAAAAACCCTGCCGTTTTTAAAAAACCTAGCTCCCATCATACCTTTCCCCCAATGGAGCCTACTCCCGTCTTGTCTCAAGGCAGAAATTCAAATTCTCCCTTTCCCCTGTGGTCACATAGTAGGTAGACAAAAAGCTGTAATACTTCCTGAGTCTACACCAATTACTACTATTATTAAAGTAGGATGTGGCATGCATTAGTATTAACAGTACTTAATTATAGGTATAAAGGCGTATTTCAGATTCCACAGAGGACCATCACAGAAAATAAAGCTCAACAACACTACTGAATACTACTAGTATACTACTACACTAAGAATTATTATACAAGCAAAAAGTATTTTTAAGGGAGTAGCAACCCTTTACCACCAATACTTCGGATTAAATGAAATAGCTAACCAAATCCAGAATCAAATTAATAGCTCCAGTATTTCTAATGTGACTAAGTTCACTGTCACACATAACCTGGACAATGACCGATGCCAATTACTGTCCATTTTGCAGAGCATTAAACTTTCTATATAGTGGGTACACACACCTGTAAAACACACACTTTAAAGAGATACTGCTGATCTGCAATACACAAGTCCCAAAACAATAAAAATTTTAAAATGTGACATCAACAAAAAAGCAAACTACTACTTTAAAGTCAAAACCCAAGTGCCTATTTACTTCTGGGAAATAAAATCAGGAGTTTAACGTCTGTCTATAAAAGTATTTAAGAAAATTGGGGGTGATTAATCACTTGTCTTACTTAGAAAGGATTAAAATTGTTAATCACTGGAAAGGAAGCACCGATTATAGTTTTTTTAAAATCATTTTATTGGGCCTCATACAACTCTTATCACAATCCACACATACATCAATTGTGTAAAGCACACTTATACATTCATTGCCCTCATCATTCTCAAAACTCGCATTCCGCTTAGGTTCCTGGAATCAGCTCATTTTCCATTTTCCCCTCCCCGCTCCCTCATGAACCCTTGATAATTTATAAATTATTATTTTATCTTATCTTACACTGCCCAGCGTCTCCCTTCATCCACTTTTCTGTTGCCCATCCCCCAGGGAGGAGGTTATATGTAGATCCTGGTGATCGGTTCTCCCTTTATATGCCCCTTTCCCTCCCGGTATCGCCACTCTCACCACTGGTCCTGAGGGGTTCGTCTGTCCTGGATTCCCTGTGTTTCCAGTTCCCATCTGTACCGCTGTGCCTCTGGTCTAACCAGGTTTGCAAGGTAGAATTGGGACCGTGGTAGTTGGGGGAAGGAAGCGTTTAAGAACTACAGGAAGGTTATGAGTTTCATTATTGCTACATTGAACCCTGAGTGACTTGTCTCTTCCACACTATCTCTCTGCAAGGGATGTCCAGTTGTCTACAGATGGGCATTGGGTCCCCATCACGTGCTCCCCTCATTCATGATATGATTTCCCACCCCCCGCCTTTGGTGCTTGAAACCTGGTCCCCTCGGTCCCTCATGATCACACGTTAGTGTGCTGCTTCCATGTGGGCTTTGTTGCTTCTGGGTTAGATGGCCGCTTGTTTACTTTCAAGAAATAAGTCCCCAGATGCCATAGGTCTCAATAGCCGGGCACCATCAGCCTTCTTCACCACACTTACTTATGCACACATTCGTCTTCAGCGTTTATGTGGGGAAGGTGGTCACACAATGATGGTTTTTGCTCTTTGGTGTCTGCTACCTGATCCCTTCAAGACCTCGTGATCACAAAGGCTTGGGTGCTTCTTCTCTGTGGCTTTGTTGCTTCTTAGCTAGATGACCGCTTGTTTGCCTACAAGCCTTTAAGACCCCAGACGCTAGCACCAATTATCTTAACTCAGAATCCAGAACTGTTCAAACTTCCTTTGTGAACAAATGGCAGGGCATATATATAACTACAATTTAATTATCTCTATCACTGCCATCAGGCGATCCTGACGCACAGAGACCCTATAGGGTAGGGCAGGTAGAAGTGCCTGGGTAGTGCTCTGAGAGCCTAACTCTTTATGGAGCAGAAAGCAGTCTTTCTCCCAGGCTCCAGCTGGAGGTTTCAAACTACTGACCTTGCCATTAGCAGCTAAATGCATAACCACTATCCCACCAGGGCTCCTTCAATGATCTCTAGTGGGGTATATTTAAGGGAATGCAAGGGTCACAAAGAATGCTGTAACCCAATATAAAAAGAAACTCAAAGAACGCTGTACTGGATACAACAAACAGCTTGCTTACATTTCAGATCACGGCCCTCGAGAGGGGCGGGATAACGACCACCTAACCAGAAAAAAGTGCAGCTCATCACAGAGCTCATGGAAGTTCTCATTGCAGATTCCAAGGTTCAACAGTGATGTCAGAAGCTAAGCAAAAAGGAATAGTGAGCTTTGAACAAGAAAATAGCCCAAATCACGATCTCAACAAGGGCCTTGGTGGAGACGGTGAGAGAGAAAGAAGCAGATACTACTCTACCCTCGCTGAGCACAGGGAAGGGTTTGGACCATTGTTTAAAATCCTCTTCTTGGCAGCTTCTATGTTTACCTGCCTTAATGTTCATAGATGTTGAATCACTGCAAATACTAAATCTAGAGGGGTCCTCCCTTACAGGTTATCTTGTTGGCATAATAATACAAAATAATCTTATAGCTAGCTAGACAATCTTTCAGTGTGGCCTTTTAGATACTTTTAACAAAATCTTTGGATGCTGTCTAGGAGCTCCACCTTAAACACAAATCGAGTGCCAACAGTGAGATTCTGAGTAATGAATCCAGGCAGTTTTTAAATGTGCTCTCTGGACAAAATACTTTGTTCTGAGGACCAGTACTTCAGACTCAAGTGTTCAGTAGTTAAAGACGCTTCTCCACAGCCACTCACTGTTTCATCCAGATGTTACTACATGCCAATGGATGGATGAACTAAGCATGAAGTGGTCAACAGATACCTGCCTATGGGGGCACAGTTTATGAGGCACACTGATAGAACATTTCAGATATTAATGAGTTCTATGAAAACAAGCCAAAAAAGCCCACGAGAATGGGCCTGAGTGTGACTTTGAGGAAAGGTTGGTCCTTTAGAAAGAGGGGTAGGGAAGTCAGGGAGAGGCCGGCTGTTCACTTTTACGACAGATGAAGATTTAGGGAAAGGTAACTCTGAAGTCATGAGGAGAGGCAGTGACTGTGGCAGCACACATGAGCTGGCATGTTCCAAGAACAGAGGGCTGGTCAGCACGTCTGCAGCACAGTAAGAACGGGGAAGTGTCGCAGCAGATGAAGTTACATCTCTAAGGTGGAGTCAGATTGTGTCGTTTAGTTTAGATTCTTATCCCAGGTGGAATGGAAAGCAACTGAAATGACTTAAGCAAGAAAGAAATTTATGTCTTTAGAAAAGAAACTCTAGCTTTAATGTGAACCAAAGATTATTGTTATACAGATGCCTTGTGAGTGTAAATTGAGATGAAAGTTTATGCTAGTTCAGCATAGGGTACTTGAAGGTAAATAATGGGATAACTAAGACAGCACCAACCATTGTCCTCTGCCCAAGAAAAACATTTCTACTCTGTCGGGGCCTGTCCTGAGAAAACACATTCGATCAAATGAAGAAATAGAAGTTCTTCAAATTTGCTCTAGATGTAAACATTTCTGTAATGACGGTAAGATGTGCTAAATCAAAACAGTGCTAACAAATGGCTCTTCTCAGTTGAGCCCGGCACGTGCACTTCCCTCTTCCCTCGCACCTAAGAGAAGCTGCTTTCTGCTTTCGCTCCCGTGTGGTCCATCATTGGTGGTCACTTCCTAATGAACACTGATGAAATATTCAGTGTGGTCTGAAATGTTTATCTTTTTCTTAATGGAGTTTTGAAATGATGTTCCTGAATGCATGACTAAAGGTATTCTATAATAAAAGTACATAAAAATGGGGCAACAAAATTAAAGTGCCAATAAAAATGGTTTCTGTGGTGACTTCTAAAAAAAAAAAGAAGTAGAAGTTCTGAAAACATTCTACACCACTGAAAGTCCTAACTCCCCTTTACCAATGCAAATCTAAAATCAGAAGGATAACCTCAACCATGATCTTATAACAGAGGCTTTAGTTACAGGAAAATCTCTGTATTTTACAGCTACTTTATTGTCATTTCCCTCAGATAGTGAAAACATAAAAACAGAACTAAAACTTAGCTGCTCTGGATATATTTGATAACAAATGATATAAAATGTGCTCTCTGGACAAAATATTTTGATATAAAAGTATAACTTAACTCGTGAAGAGTCTATAAAGTTTGTACAAAACATTTCCTTAGAAGTCAACCTTGGATGTAATGATTGCATATAGATATTATCATTACACTTCCTTCTAAGAACTTTCTTCCTATCCTAGGTCAAATTCTTTAACTTCTACAAAGTAGCAAGATGTCAATACAGTTTGTAAGATTCTGTAATTCGTATTTTTCACTTGCTATGAAACCATTCCATCTTTTCTTCATCTTTTGGTAGTGTAAACTAAGACTACATTCAATTTTTAATGATCTTCAAATAGGAACAAGAATTGTTAGCATAAAAAAAACCAAAGTCATACCTCCATTTTAATTCTCTTAGGGGATAATTCATCTTTTTCTCCACATTTTGACCTGAGAGGTTGGGGAAAGGAAAAGAAAATTTGAGAAGGTAATGAAGTTTATTCTAAAGGCATGAAAATCTTTAACTTCCATGTAACTCTGTATGCAAACAAATATGTAACTCTGATGCAAACGTCATAATGAACTTAAGCAATGGAAATATGTCCTTTTACCAATTCCGAATTAGAGGAGTATGCAGGCACTATTAATATCGTATGTTCCAACCTAAGAACTCCCCACCCAGGAAGAAGAATTCAACGAGTGTTTCACTATCATCACATGAATAGAATAGCAGGAACAAATATCAAGGAGGGCTGGACTCCATGATCTTTATGATTCCATAGGAATGATTTATGACAAAATGATCACTGAAGTTGAAAGCTAAAGGTTACATGAGATTAAAAGACATTCTATCTACCTAAATACAGATGCATTTACCCTTCAGCCAGAAATCTCTCTGCTGGGAATCTAGTCCACAGACAGACCAACACATATAGAACAATATATTCCATCAGTTCTAAGACATGCCATTATTTCATATACCACTTAGAAATACTACTGCCAATTAAACAATGACAAATTATTGATTTTAAGTTACACCTCGATTTCTGAAATGTTAAACAAAAGTGTGCCCCCGAATCACCAAAAGGATATGTATAAGGCTGTTTATTGTCATATTATTTGTAACGACGGAAGAATGGAAGAGCTCAAGTCTCAGCAACTACCTCTCAATATAAAAGCAAAAAACCAAGCTCAATTCAAATCACAGCAACCTTATAGGTCAGGGCAGAACTGCCCCTGTGCTTTTCCACGGAGGCTGTAACTCTTCACAGGAGCAGAAAGCCTCGTCTTCCTCCCACGGAGCAGCTGGTGGTTTCACACTGCTGCCTGTTTGGTCAGCGGCCTGATGGGTAACCGCTATGGCACTAGGTCTCCTGACCGATCAATAGGGACTGGCTGAGTCATGGTCCAGCCAAACAATACAAAGCGGCTTCAAAAAGCTTGTGGAAAAATTCCATTATCATTTAATTCAATTTTACACAAAATTTTTGAAGGTCGTCCTACAATACCATGCAGCAGTAAAATGATGTATATATATGAACATGGAAATGTGCCAAGAAATGTTGTAATAGAATAAAAACAAATATATCAAAATATAAAAGCAAACAAAATAAAAGCAGGGCAACTGATGCTTCACTATTAGTCTTATGTGCCACCTGACTTCTTAAACTACATAATTATATTCTTATAAAAATTATAAAAAATCATTTAAATTAGGGACCCAAGAAAAGATTTTTGGATACTGTAGTGGAGAACATGAAAAATAACTTAATCAGTTCCCCACTTCAAAAAAATCAATCTAATAAATACTGCTAAAATTGTTTTTGCTGCATGTTCTTACCCTAGTCGACATAATTTGTCAATTTGTAAGGGGCTCCAAAGTGTTTGTAGACAAATGGAATTAAAAGATAATGGAACTTTCACACTAGCAATTTAAAGACACCCTCCATCCGCACCCCCAACCCCCCAAAGATCTTTAAGGTGAGGCAGAAGAAGTTGCTACGGGTTAGGGAAAATAATAGTGATGACAGAAAATAATGCCTATAGCAGTGGTTTTCATAAGAATCACCTGTGATACCAGTGAGTGCTCAGATCCCAGGGCTCCATCCCCAGAGGCTGTGCTTGACTAGCGCCGGCTGTCAGTACTCACAAGTACCAATAGCTACTCTAACGTAAGTGAACTTTGAGCGCAGAGAAGCAGGGGCACGCACAGAGATGGCCCCTGGAAACTGTGCTCCCTCTGTAACTTGGTGAACACAACAAGAATGATGTCAATGTCTAGGGCCCATGGGAGGGTAAGATGAAGAATAAATGTTTACATCAAACTTTGAAACCACCGTTACTTTGCAACATTATTCTTTAAATTTCAAACTGGCTTTTCAAATTCCACTTGCATATAACAACATTCCCTTAAAAACTTGCCAGCAGCAGTCATTTTATGTACCTAGTTAATCTAGTTAGATTACAAACACCCTGCAAAAGGAAGCAAGTTCAACAAGTCCACATGTTAAAAAAAAAAAAGCAAACAAACAACAACAAAATCCAAACTCACTGCTGTGGAGTCAATACCCAAACACAGCGACCCTAGAGGACTGGGTAGAACTGCCCCTGTAGGTTTCCAAGACTGTAACTCTTTTAGGGAGTAGAAAGCCCCGTCTTTCTCCCATGTGGCTAGAAGGTTACAAGTAATCCTTAAGTGTTGATGAATAAAATATCTCATAATACTTAAACCCAAAGCACACATGTGAGAAAAGTTATGTCTGAAACCACCATCGGATTAATGCTACTGTGCTAGGCCACCATTTTTCAAGGAAACAACAACAAAAATCACTGGAAGAATAATGCTTTAAAAAATCACGCAGTTTTATAGTTTAGAATTATAATCATACTTCTACTTTTTCAGAAATGCTTCTATCACATCAAAGGAAGGTATTTCAAACACAATTTCTATAATGCAATTCAAAAATATTGCCAAGGAGTTAAAACACTTACTTAGTAGTTCTGTAAGTGTACTTATAGGTGACTTCTCGAGAAATCTGTCTAGCCAGGGCAAAGAGTTCATCTCTTCTAGTCAGCAGGGCATTGTCCTTCACACAGAGCTGGGCAGCTGCTTCATTCACCGTGAGCTGGACATCCAAAAGACAGTGTTTGAAAAATGCACACAATTTTATTTCATCAATATGTAAAACACTTCACTCGTGAATATAAAAAAATATCACATCATTATATAACAAAATTGGTTTTTGAAAAACCTGCATGGTCTTTATTCATATTGACTCTTCCAATTTCAGAAGCAAAGCACATCAGCTACATATCTCAAACCCAAGCTAATCAAAATACCCACCTTGGCTTCACTTATTTACATGCTTTATTTTATTTCTGGAGTTTTTATGAAAAAGTAAAAATAAACAGTAGAAAATTATATAAAAATCCCATATCCCAGAATGACCAATACTAGTCACAATTTTGTAAAAATTTTAAGTTTGACAGATTTAAAAATGGTATCATTATAATTTGCATTTCTTGGATGATGAAACCAGTTTTTTTTTTTCTGGTTCTGACTTGAAATTTGCTTGCTCAAGGCATTTGCCTGAATGCTCTAATCCACTGTTTGTCTCCTAATAGGCTTTAAAATGTTTATTTATTCAGAACACTAACTTTGCATCATACATAGAACCCAAGCCCCTTCCCTAAGTTTGTCAGTAGCCTTTTACTCTTATTTTATCATATTTACCTTGAATATCCTGTGTAAAAACATCTTTCCCATTCTACTGTACAGCAGTGTTCTCTTAGTTTAATAGTTTCATTTTCCATTTCGGTATTTAACAGATCTAGAATGTGGTTTGGCATAGATAACTAATGCACTCCTTTTCAAATCCCCAACTAATATTTTTAATCATTTGTTTTATGGCAAACTATTTGGCTACTATCAATGAAGTTAAACAAGAACCACAGGCCTACTATTTTAAAATCTGTAGATGAATATGAAAAGTAGAAAAATATAGTTTTAATCTTATCCTATCCTTCTAAAAAAATCACCAATATATCAATTTCTCCCATAAGGGCTTTTAAAAGGTACAGTGATATTACAGCTAAGATAAATGAAGCTTAAAAAAAAGATTTCCTGAAAAAGCAGAATTTTCACGACAGAAGCTACAATGACCTCGAAGACCTTTATCAAGCTGCTTTCATTGAGTCTTCTTTTCTTCATGTGCTCACGCACCTAAATTACGATAAGTCTAATTATCAGAAAGTTGACTGAACTGGTAACTTTTGAAGGCACTAGCTATACATATCATAGAAAACAGCATAAGTGGAAAACAATGCTTTATTATATCACCCATCAGAAATTTAAAAAAAAGTAAACCCTAACACATTCCTTGTATTTGCATTCAGGCCACAACAGATGAACAAAGGTTCATCTTAAGGGGCCCTTTGGTAGAAAAATTGAGGCAAGAGCAGTAACCCTAGCTCACTGAAGTTATAATAAGCTGATTCATGAGGCTTCTTCATCAAAACCGTGTGTTCTGCTAATGTTATCTGGGTTCCATGTCTCTGGTAACTAATCATTAACAAATTTTAAAAAAGGATACTAATGCTCCAAAAACCAGAAATCATTCTCAACCAGTCAGCTTTTAAAAAATAATTTTGTTGAAAGTAAAACCAAATAAAATATTTTTCTTTACTAATTTATTTCCTTCACTTCTTTTCATGCCCCCAAATAACAAAATTCCATTCTTATCTTCCTGCAAACTATATAAGATTCTTTCTTTCATTTATAACTGGCCTTAAATCTGGGCTTAGTAAAATTTCTTCATACTCAAGAAGAATAGTTTACTGATTCTAAGAAAACCTTATAGGTTGTTATAAAATTATAGTTATTAACCATCAAATGATTGTGATTTTTGATTAAGTACTGTTGGCATAAAAACACTGTATGAATGCCATGCAATAGGGAAGCTCAGGAGGTAATCAGGATTTCTGTCTCCAACACCAGGGAGGACTAGGTCCCATGTCTGCCCCTAATCTCCAGCAGGACACTAAAAATAATGGATAAAAGGGGAGCCGGGACCAGTCCATTATCGTAGATGTACCAATAAGCTGGCAAGAGTAGGGACCAAACTAATGAAGACACTATTTCAAGCAGTAAGCTGATGACAGTGGCTAACCCAGATGAACTTGTGCATCAATCTTCAGTCTAAAAGAGCTGAGAGCTCTGGGAAGAAAACATGAGGAACAGCTCTGGGCCCACCAGAGATGAGCAAAGAGGAGATCAAGGCCCCTCCTTATCAAAGTTGAAATCCTAACCTAAGGCTGAATTATAAGCACACCTGTACCCTATGGGAATACAAAGAAAATTACCTTCTTGAATCTTGATGCTGAATGGGAGAGAAGAGAGGGTGTCTCTTAAATTTTCACATACCCAAATTAACCCTTCACAAAAGAATCTTCAGTGCTAATTCACACTAAATTGGGTTGAAAATTAAACTATAAGGGGTCCCAGATGCATTGTAGAAGATCAAGCAAACAGCCTCTAGAGCAGTGGTTCTGAACCTTCCTATTGCCGTGATCCTTTAATACAGTTCCTCCTGTTGTGGTGACCCTCCCCCCAAAACATAAAGTTATTTTTGTTGCTACTTCATAACTGTCATTTTACTACTGTTATGAATTGGGCAACCCCTGTGAAAGGGTCGTTCGCTCCTCAAAGGGGTCATGACCTACAGGTTGAGAACGGCTGCTGTAGAAGAATGCACATTGTCTTGCCAAACTTCAAAAATATTTCCATGGGTAAAGTTCCAAAAACTATGAATTCACAAACAGAAATCACAAAACATTCTGCAAAATAAGCCATCATAAACGAAAACCAGCAAAAACAACAGACAGAAGAATTAGAGCCTCAGAAACTTCATTTAAAGAAAAACAAATTGAAAATATGACTAAGGAATAAAACAGTGAAAATGGCCATGAAAAACGGAGAATTCAAAGAGGAGAAAGAAAATGGGGCAGAGATAAAGAGAAGATTTTAAAAGAGGATGAGAAATAACAGAATATTCGCTGACTTCATACATAATGAAAGCCAAAAGTCAATGTAATTTCAATGTACTAAGAAAAATCAACTGACAATATAGAATTAAAAACTCAGATTAGATGTTATTTAAGAATTAGTAAACAATAAAAAATATCTCCCCATGGCGAGGGAAGAGCACCATTTGCCACCAGCAGGCAACTTGGAAAATTCTAACTGATGCACTTCAGGCAGAAGAAAATTAATCTTAGCTGGTAAGTTTAAGGTATAAGGTAGGGAAAAGAAAGAAATATAAAATAAAATAGTGACCATAAATACAAACTATGAATCATTATAACAAATGTGCATGGACCAAGTATTGTAGTTAGAAAACAAAAAGAAAATTAAGGTTGGATTCTTCAAAACACTGGTATTTTATTGGTATACACACAGACATTTCTAAAACATGTTATCAGAGAGGATAAAGGTTGGGGGGAAAATGTGACAGGTAGTTACAAAAATAGAGTTCACATATTACACTATTAAATAAAATTCTTATCACAACAAACAAAACAGGTTCTTCCTTTAAAAAGCTAGGACTGCTACATCATAGAGAAACAGATAACAGTTACTGAAAGACCAAGCAGACCAGAAAAAGGAACACAGATAAGTTTGAATAAACTTGCTAAAAAAGATTATGTACAGAACACCTCACCAACAACTACAGAAGATACTGCTTGTGAGCACTTACTGAACCATAACTAAATCTCAAAAAACCATGCTCTCTGACCAGGATATATTTCTGTTAAAAATCATTAGGAATCTGGCTAGACCAGAGGATGTACACTGTTACAGATAGGAACTGGAAACACAGGGAATCCAAGATGGATGATCCCTTCAAGACCAGTGGTGAGAGTGGGGATACTGGGAGGGTAGAGGGAAGGTGGGGTAGAAAGGGGGAACCGATTACAGGGATCTACATATAACCTCCTCCCTGGGGGATGGACAACAGAAAAGTGGGTGAAGGGAGATGTCGGATGGTGTAAGATATGACAAGATAATAGTAATTTATAAATTATCAAGGGTTCAACAGGGAGGGGAAAGCAGGGAGGGAGGGGAAAAAATGAGAAGCTGATACCAGGGGCTAAAGTGGAAAAACAAATGTTTTGAGAATGATAATGGCAACAAATGTACAAATGCGCTTGACACAATGGATGGATGGATGGTGATAAAAGTTGTATGAGCCCCCATAAAATGATTTTTAAAAATCATTAGGAAAACTCCTCTCATACTTGAAATGAAACCATCTGAATAATATATGAACCAGGAAAGAAATCATAAATGGAAAGAAATAATTCGAATTTTAAAATAATAAGATAGCCCCATAACAAAACTCTGGGATAAACTTAAGCTAATATGTAGTGATAACTTATACATTTAAATGATTATGAAAGGCTGGACATTAATACACTGAAGAGCCACCTGAGTTGGAAGAAAACAATAAAGGAAATTGTAAGGAAGCAGAAGTGCACACAATACAAACACATATTCTCTGCATAACTGAAAATATCAACTGAGCCAAATGCCAATTCTTCAAAATGTTATGGGGTTGGCAAGTTTTTTTCTGTTAAAATAAAAAAAAAGGAACATTTATGTTTCATGAGCCAGAGTGTGTCACAATTGCTCAACTCTGCTAATGTAACATGAAAGTAGACATAATACATAAAACAAATAGGCATGGCTATATCCCAATAAAAGTTAATTTATATAATCAGATGACAGCAAACTTTTTCTGAAAACAAATATTTGAAAAACAAAACAACCCAGAATAGACAGCAGGCCAGACTTGGTCCATGGACTGTAACTTAGACTCCCAAAAAAGATTAATGAAAAAAAAAAGCCTCTGGGAAAAAAAATTTTGGGGGGGGTGGGGTGGGCGGGGAGGATGTGAAATGACAGATGAAACATGCAATCAGAATTAGGCTTTAAAAATTGTAAATAACTTTATGTCAGTAAATATGAAATAGGCAGATTTTAAAAAAATGTAATTTATCAAAACTGATCTAAGAAGAAACAAACTACCTAACTAGTCCTATAACCTACTTTTTAGATCATCAGGAA